CGAACCGAACACTGATTTTGGTAATAAAATTCAATGATTTGCAAGCGTTGCTCGTTAGTAAGTCTATTCATGATGAAATGTCAAAGCATACTGAGCATCTTTCTCTTTGACACCATGTCTGAAATCCCACGTGATCTGTCAAATACTAATGCATGAAAATCCTAACCTCAAAAAAATCACCCGTTAGTAACACATACTAAATTAAATTTTTTCAGTTCTCTCCACCGTTTCGCGTTATCAAAACCTTTTCCGCCATCTGAATACGAAATTTAAAGTTATAAAGCCGTTTGAATTCATTTGCTTGCATTTTCGGTTTACATTTTCATGGAAACACGCATATATGCGAAAGTCTGTGAATCAAGGGAGTTTTTCTTTTCTTTAAAAATTCCTAAACTAAGCTAAATAATGTACCCTTACAATCCTTTCATATTTTAAGAGAAATTATCTCTGGGTAGTTTTATATAAAAAAAACAATAACGTACGCGACATAACGCGTTTTTTTCCTGAAGAAATAAGGCGTCTTGCTGCATCTGCCTTCCTTTTTCGATAGGCCCGCTGTCTTTCAGCCTTCTTTTTTTTGGTGCTCTTTTGGCTTTGCTTCATTTTCTTTTAACTCTTCTCACCACCGTTTCATTTTTTTACAACTATTCTAAATAATTTAAATGGAAAATTTGCAATTAACATTGGTTTTGATGTATTTGATTGAAATTTTCGTACTTACAATAACGTATGCGTCAAACTTTAAAGGGTAATCAATTTTTTTTTACTTCGGTTGGAAAGAAAATTTTACTGTATATCTTTAACTGGAAGAATTTTCGCTTAACCCTTATGGGTATTCCCGTTTCATATACCTTATACGGTACAGCTTAGGTCTGGTTAGACCTATGCGCAGTTTGTACGGGAAGTAATAGCAATTATACAAAATTTTATTAAAACAATAAAATAACGATAATCTATTGACATTTTATTAATATTCATTGAGTAGTTTTCAAAAATAAATGCTTAAAAACTAGATTTTATTCACTTTGTGAATTTATGCATTTGTGGCATTTATGAAGCTGCTCCGAATGTTGTAAGCAAACTGGATCTGAGCAGCTCATACAAAGAAACCTTGTTTCTCTTTGCAATTTACATTTTGCAATCTTTACATTTGATGCGCCACTTGTACTTGGTGCAGATAAATTTGGAGCAATAGGAGCACCGAAATACGCCTCTATGGCTGTTCTTAATGTAAAATGTTTCATAACTTGGGGATTATTCATACGACTTTCGACTTGACGACGAACTAAACCCTTCCCAAGTCATTCAAAAATACACGTCGTGCATCAGTCCCTTTGCTTTTTTGATTTGATTTTTATAACATAATATGCCAATGCAGCCACATCCAGCATATTATAAAAAAAGGCCAATGGCCATCGCTGAGTTCTCCGTTTGCATGTGTATTTACATAACATTTGGTCCATAACATCTACACCGCATTTTGTCTTGTTGTAAAAAGGATCGCCTCGGGTTTTTGCAGTTGACCGCTGGTTGTGGTGTCTCCATGAAGTGAAGATAACAAAAGTACAATGTCGAGAAAACCAAATTTTATAGACAGTACCGGACGTGAATTATTAGCTAACATTTCTTTTGGTATATATTTCTTATTACGACGTAAAGTGCCAACAAAAGATAGTCCAGAATCTCTTAATTTATTTACAGCATTAAAGTTGTGAAAAAATTGTCAGCAATGATTGTTCTTCTCGAAAAAACATATTTACTGGTGAGGGTTAATACAATATGCAAAACTTGATTGACATCTCTTGGCTGATTCCGTTATTTCCCGGTATATAAAATGCCTTTCAATGGATATGAATTGGAGGCGTCACAAGCCCAGAAAATGTTTATGCCGTATTTAGCCGGCTTCTAAGGTAAATATTTATATACTGCGTAAACTTCGTGCGTCCTCTAAACGTGAAGAGCTGTTCATCCACAGTTATATTTGCTGTTGGCTTATATAATGACCCCAGTTGAGTATTTGGCAGTCATCCGAATATCACGAATAGGTGCAGCCTTATCTTGCTCCTGGCGTGCAGCTCGCGTTCTTTCATCGTCAAATCGAATAAAGGAAGTTATAGATTTGAATCGTTGTATGGACTTTGTGGCTCTGTAGATAGGTAAAGAATCTGATCGCCATAATTCTGTGCTGTTTTGCACATTTGCATGATTCAATCCAGCTGCAAGTAAAACCCCAATATAGGTGTTCCATTTACAAGTTCCATTGTCTTGGCTTTTTCGGCTTCTTTTCTGCATTGAATTTTTCAATAATTTTCAATGCTTTGCGATTAGTTTCCCGCATAATAATAACTATCATATTTTCTGTAATAAGTGACTTGAAAATGTCCAATGGATTTGAATATAACGAAGATTTGACAGTTCCACCAACTTCTCGCAAAATATTGTGGCTTCGCACACGGGTGGACGGCAAAGGAGTCTTACTCCACCTCGTACCATCAGGAGCTACAAAAATTTGTTTGGGCTATGTAAATCTACTGGCTCGTCCCCCTCTTCGTCGTCATCCGATTCTTCAGGATCGCTCTCCACTTCAAAACAGTTTTCATCCTCTACATCAGAGGCATGATCATCACAAACAAAATCATCATCGTCGTCTTCACCGCATTCAGATAATACATCGGCATCACCGTTCGCTTCATGATCTGCAGATGTTACATGTTCTACAAGACGCTCGTAATAATTCGTTCGCTGATCCTCTGACATACTGAATAAATAATACGCATTTGTGCACGTACATATAAGTATATAAAATACAAATAGCAAAGCTTATCGCACTTTGAAATGGACTAGCTTAATTTTTGAAATTCTTACGAATTGCTTTTGCATAACTATCGGTATTTAGTTGTTGTTATTGTGCCCCCAAAGTTTGACAATTTTCCCCGTTCTTTATGAAAGTAGTGGCGGAAAAAAAAACAATTGCAATTTTTGCTTGATTCGCTGCTTTATAGGTCTGGTTAGATCTATGGTGTATGTTTGAGGTGCAGGTTTAGTTAATTATGAATAAAACCTAAATCAGCATATATCTTTCAAATTTCGTTTTCGATAAACGCATTTAATACATTTGTTGAGGATATCATAAATTCCTAGTTTTGTAGATGAATAATTTCTATAAGATAAAATCAGTTAAGGTTAGTTTAGGTCTGGTCAGACCTTGGTATACCCATAAGGGTTAAGAATTGTAATCTGCATTACCTGCAACTGCCAATATACAAATGACATAGACAAACAATGTTTTTGCATAACGTACGCAACATTAGAATACTATCAGAAGAAAATCAAAAAATTACCGTTATTCGAGCTCTAACTTCTTCTTTTTCTCATTTTTATAGTTAGTTGTTATCGCAAATTTGATTTTAAGATGTAGTTGTCATGCTCAAATCTCTTAATTTAGTTAATAGGAGAGAGAAAAAAGTTCATTTCATTAGAGAAAACTGAGTCGAAGGGACATTCAGTTTTACTCTTCCATTTTTCTCTTATTAATTCGTCTTAAAAACCCTTATCAGTTGGTTTTATTTTTTCAGTCCTGGTTGACATTTTCATGGAAACACCCATATGCAAAAAACAGTAAAAGTTCGAGGGTGCAACTATTATCGGTTCGTGTCTTTAATAAATCGCGGTGAATTAATCGCCAAGTTTTTGAAACGGCCCCGCGTTACACCATTTCTATGTTCTTTGCACACACCTACATAGTGTGCACCTGAAATGACATTTGAATAATACGAGAGTCATTAAGAAGCCGCGAAAAATTATTAGAATTCCGCGCGAAATTGGTGTTTCAAGTTAATTTATACGGGCTCAATTCTATGGATAAGTGAGAAAAAAATACACAATTTTGGTTTTATTTTGCATATGTATTTCCAAAAAACTTTTAAATTAGGTTCGTTATAAGACATAGGCCAGTTACACCTGTCGAGGTTGAGGAGAGTAGCAGCAGCAGTGGCAGCCCCAGCAGTGAAACCAAGTGAGAATATTTGGAATCATTGTGTTAATAGTTGTGTGTTTTTACAAATTATCCAGTAACTTGCCAGCAACTCTCCAGTAACTTAATTTCTAAGAATTCGCTCTCATAGAAAAAATTTACAAAAAAGTACGTGAACGCTTTTCCAGTAATAATTTGCAAGTTTCATGAACAGCTGATTAATTGGTTGTTTATTCGCAGCATATTCCTAATAAAACAATGGCCCGTAGTCATAGTCAAAATAAAGTCGACTTTAAAGTTAGTTGCAGCTTTTTGACATAATTTTCAATGGGATATCGGTCAAAAAAGCTGCAACTAACTTTAAAGTCGACTTTATTTTGACTATGACTACGGGCCAATAATCTTGTNTTTAAATATGTTAATTTTGTGAATTTCCGCAATAAAAAGCCACAAACAGTTTCCTTATTAGTTTAAATTTCATCCAGCAACATGCGATCAGCTGTTTTTCGTACTGGCAAATTCTTACAAGTAAAAATTTATCCAGTAAAATCCAGTAAAAACTTGCAACTTCAGCTGTCATTTTTCGCTCTCTCAATTTCCCCTACTTTGCAAGTTTTTGCGTACGAAAACGCCAAAACATGAAAATTCGTAAAAACTTTTACTGGATTTTACTGGGAATGAGTAAACGCAACTAATATTACTTACATATGTATGTATTTCTTTATAATATACAGAATACATAATATACATGGTCGGCTAAAGACTATATAAATACCTCGTATATGCGGAATCCAATACCACGTCATGTATGTACAATAGAAAAGGGATTTGGTAATTATTTTTCCATTACTGCTTACTTTCTTAATTTAAGTTAAGATTAAATAATAATAATCTTATAGCAAGTGGGTTCAAGGGAAATACCCATATATGTAATACTTCTATATTGCTAGTACAATATGACCACAATGAGTTTTCAATTCGAAATCAAAGAAAGACAGCCTATGAAAATTTTTGTGATTGCAGAAGTATACGTGTATATTTGTAAACTACTACCTGGAATGAAGGGCCATATCATAACAGGGTCGGTTCAGGGAATTCAAAAAACAAACACAAATTTGAGGGTCTCATGTTTCCTTCAAGCGGCAATGTATATCGAGCCCTGGACGCGAAAATAAAGTAAGCGAACTTGTTTCAAAATTTAATTTTGATTCATAAATGCTATTAGATCACCTGCATCAAAAAGTAATTAAAAAATAAAATATATACATTATTTTAGCGGTTAGGGCTCTATATGTCGACTTTATCCGATGCTCTTCGTTATTTGGAAATCCGAAAAATTGGAAGATAGAAGATCTTTTCCTAACCAAAACAAAACTTATTTACACATAAAGCGGTGTAGTATTTTATATGTTGGCCGAATTCAATAAAGCACGCTATTCGATTCCCTTCTATGCTAATTGACGCCAATTGGAAATGCCAACTGATGCTAAGTCCTTCTCCAACTGGTCTTTTTATCCTCTGCCACCACCAACGGCCGCAGCGTTTCTCATAGATTTATAGAAATTGTATTTTTTGTTAATTATACCCGAGCGCACTTGTGCACAAGGGTATTATAACTTTGTTCACATAACGGTTGTTTGTAACAGGCAAAACGAATCGAGATAGATATAGACAAATGTATACATAAATGATCAGAATGAAAAGAGAAATCG